GGACGAACTCAGAAATATTATTTCTGAATACACATCAAGTATTTAGTGGTCTATGGAAGCTCTAAAAATTGAGGTATTGACGTAGGAAAGGTAGCAAGTGCAAAATTAAAACATTTCGGGTAAGAAAAAATGATTTGCGATCATCTTGTCCGTAACAAGTGATCGCAAATACTAGCAAATTGAAACTGTACACTCTAAATACAAATAACACCTTAACACTGGGGTAGTTCAATCACTTTACTAAACGTTTTTCGGCTGTATTGATGAGCTGTAGTCAGGTAAACAGTGTTCGAATTCGGAACAACTTGTCATCGAGCATTGAAATATTTCTAAAAATGGAATTATCATCAAAAAATAACTTTTTCTAACTTTTTCTTGATGTTAATAAAAATAAATAAATAAATAGAGGAACCCCTGACGTGGGCTCATCGATAGGGCCAAAAACCTTTAGTAAAATGATTTAACTACCCTAGTGTTTAGGTGTTGTTTGTATTTAGTTGAAAATAAAAGCTGGATTATAATGAATTTCTACTATATACTCTATCTGTGTTGCAAATTTAATTTAAAAAATTAGGAATAATTTTGTCTGTAAATGCCTTCATTATAGCAAATTCAATATGGAAAAAGTCCTATGTGAAATGAGCAATTATTTATTATAACATCGTCACAAAATTTCAATTTTAAATCGTATTTTAATTAATTTAATTTAAAATATATTATCTCTATCCCAAATTAGTAGTAAATTGCCCCTGCACATGACACTTTTATTTTAACAATAGAATCGTGCTGATCATTTATCTAAAACCTTTTAGGGGAAACTTTTTAAAATTGAATTAATATGATTTCCGGTTTGCATCAGAAGTTCGTATATAGGTAATCGGGGCCTTCTTTCCCTAAGGTTTCCATAAGGAAGACAGACAAACGGGCGTCAGTGAGAATTTATAGGTCTACAATTTTTTCAAATTGCAAGTCAACTACTAGCAGCAATTTTTCAACTGTTTCTTTCGTGTTGGGCTACTACTAATCTGTATTAATGGCATTGGCGTTTACTACCTTTGATTAATTAATATATAAAAAATTGAAACGTCGAATTTGTGGTACTTACTACTTTTCCCATGTCAACTTCTCAATTATTTATAGAAATACAATGTATAGATTTATTCAAAAAATGTATAGAAATATGTATACTTTGAAATTAAAATATCTTATAAATGAGAACAATACTTTATGAGAAAAATTATATAAATTCTTATCCCAATTCTAAAATATTTTGAGGCACACCATGGCCGATTGGATAACGCCAATGAACACTTAGTAGTATCTGACTAACGCACTCTACTTCAGGATCTCAAAAAGTCCAAAAAAAATGCAAGACGCGTTGTTTATCAAATTTTAATTAAATAAATATCAAATTTAGTTTTAAACTCACGACTTTATGAATGTACTTCATAGTTTTTACTTAAATAAGTCGTTCTGCGAAGAGAATAGATGTGGCAAAGCGTTAAAAATCCGAAATTCTAGTGAAAAAGAAGTAATTTTGAAAAACCTATTTTTAATGAATGAGATAAGTGATTTCACTTTAAGTGTCAAACTCGTCACTTTCACTTTAAACTTGATTGTTGTTGCAGAAGCGACACAATTTTCGAATAAATGTCTTTTTCGTCCCAAAAAATACAAGCATACTTGTGATGTATGATGGAATTGAAGCTGCTGAAGAGTCTGTGAAGCAGATCTCTATTCATTTTTTCGAAATATTTTCCGAATTTCATGTCATAGCTTGAAAATTTCGTATCCTGAGGTACCACTGTATATATAAACGAATTCATCTTGTTGGTTTGTCTTTTATACAAATTTTTATTCTTAAACTTATTTGGACAAAAATTTGTATGAGTATTACTTAGACCCCAGAATCGACACCAGTAGCGTAGCGTGGGTGTCAGCCGCCCGGGGCGAAGGAAAATTTCGCCGTCCCCTTAATTAGGTATCTCAATTTAAAAGACTAAAATTCAGTTTCGTCACAGAATAAGTAATGAAAAATTCCGTGCTAGTGTTACTAATTTTGTAAAATCGCTGACCCGGACGGCAGGTGAGGTTAGTTTGAACAGAAGTCCCTGACGGAATGTCATTTTGCAATGCGAAGAATAATGTGCAGTGCATGCTGGTTCTAAATCAGTTATATACGAATAAATCGTAGAAGCAAAAAAGAAAAAAAAAAGGTCGACAGGTCGCGCAAGATATCCCCGGACGGCGAGTCGATTCCCGGACTGTCCGGATGGTAACACTATTCCGTGCTCATTTCAATCGGTCCGAATCGTAGGTGGACGAAGATATGAAATAAAATGTTCAAATTCTTACAAGATATTATTATTTATTGTGAAAATTTGCCGTTCCCTAATAAGTGCCGCCCGGGGCGGGCCGCCCCTGCTTCCCCCACTACGCTACGCTACTGGTCGACACTATGCTATACAGTATACTACCCCAATATAGTATAGTAGTACTGTATATATAGCTTCTGCATCCAACTTGCTGCCTTCATATGTAGCATCATCTGTTGACAAAAATCTACATATGTATATAAATGATTGTTATTGGTTTGTTGAATAATAGATATATATAGATTTAGTAGTAATCTATTAATAACTGAATTTGAATCGATTTTGAAAAGGCTACCAAAAGAACGATAATTAATTCCCCAAAAGATAGAAAAAGCGAAAAAAAGATCATTAAGAAATAGTAAAAGTATTGAAGATAGTGAAGTCTGTCTTAAACAAAACTGCTTGAGGATGTCTCGACTGAGGGCAAATCAGATATTCTCAAGCGATTAATGTAACCGGGAGGGTTTTTAAACTGCTTGGAACCATCTGGACTACTACCTAATAAACAAGAGATAAAAATTGAAGCACCAGACCCCCATTAATGCTTTTGGGAAATTTACACTCACCAAAGTTATGTAATGGGACGAGAATGATCGCATAAAATTGATGCGGAATGTCATCGAGGCAAAAATATTAACAGGAAATGCAGCAGGAAGTATATTAATTAAATTCAAGAATACCATTAATTTGCATGGTGATACCATTTCAGTTTAAGCGGATGCAATTTCCAGTTGGATTAGCCTTTGTGATGGCTATAAACAAAGCACAAGGACAAGCATTAAAATTGGTTAGCGTGAACTTGGAAAGTCCATGCTTTTATCTTGCCCAGTTATACGTTATTAACAACGATAATGGAAGAGATTTATAATAACAATTCTTCTGTAGAAAGGAGTCAGATATATTTGATTTGTTTCTAAGAAATAATTTCAAGATCTATACACTTAAATTAAATATTACTTAAAAGACCTACAAAATTTATATTTTTGTTAATTTTGAACTGCTGCGTATATAACATACATAAAACATTCTATAATATTCTGCACAAAATATTAATCTATACTAATATTATAAAGAGATAATGTTTGTATGTATGTAAGTTTGTATGCAGCAGGTAATCTCCGAAACTACTCATCCGATTTCAAAAATTCTTTCACCAATATTTAGAATGGAACCTCAGGATTGGCATAGGCTGTATATTATTCCTTTAAACATTCATATAAATTAAAATATATAATCTAGGTTAAGGCTTTTATGTCCAACAGATGGCACTACGAGTATGACGCCCTAAGTTTGCTTTTCTGTGAGGCATTATGATTTTCTGTGAAAATGAACTAAAGCAGATCATCTTCTATCTATCTATATAAATAAAAATGTAATGTTCGTTTGTTCCTACCGATTCCTTTGAAATTTTGACACAACACTGCATTCGAATACGCACGTGTTTTTATATAATATACGTGTCGAAATTCCCTCCACTGAAGGGAGATGGTTAAGATTAAGGCTTACCATAAAGAACTCTGCTTCTATTTATACTATTTTAGATGCGGGTTTTTGCGTTTTTGATTGCGTTTTAATAGGGTACGTCAACAGAATGTACACTAAGAAGGGATTTTTCGATATTCCCCCCGGGGGGAGAGGGACAGGATTAAGGCTTACTGTGAAGAACTTGGCTTCTATTATACTATTTTAGATGCGGTTTTTTGCGTTTTTGATTGCGTTTTAATAGCGTACGTCAACAGAATGTACACTAAGAAGAAATTTTTCGAAAAATTCTCCCCCCCCACGGGGAAGTGTTATAAATTTATAATAGATACATTTTGAGCCACAACAACTCGTGGCGGGGTCTGCTAGTACAATATAAAAAGTGTTATTTTTTCTTGAGAAGATAAGTGATCAGGCTCCTAATGTCTCGGGTCCACCTTCCACCTGTGTGAATCCGCCATCGGAGCTGAAGCAATGTGGATAAGCAGCTTTTTAGAGTTTTTGACTGACAAGTGAGCGAAATGGTGATTTGTTATTGTTGGAATAATCATTTTTTCATAAGTGATTTTCTTATTTGCTGGATTAAATTTATCAAATATATGTTCAAATTTGAAATATATTGGATATTAAATATTTGCAAGAAAGTTACACTACTTTTGTAAGAAGTTTAGAGATGTTTATAACAGTACATAATTATCAGAAATGATTTTTAAAAAAATATTTAAACAAAATTATGCCAAGTAATTCTTCTATTCGTAATATGTTAATTGGTATTAAAAAATGTGGATTAACTTAATTTAAAAAAATCGATGATAAAGTTTGCTCCCAGAGATGTTTAATATTAACAATTTATCAGTTTATAGTATAAAAATTTAGAATTTTGATATTAATTAAATTGATTTTCATCTTTTAATGTTTATATTTATTAACTCGTTAAGAATATTTATGTATATGTAGAGTCAAAAGTCTTTCTTTATAATGCTATCATTTGTAATTCACAAAATAATATCTAAATGTTCATTTAACATATGGATGCAGTCCTGTCACTCATAGGCTTCTGTTTTATGTAGTAAGATTGAAAGATTTACACCGCTAAATGGTTCGCGTTTTATATCTTCATCTGGTATGTGATGACCTTTGAGTCTCCAGAAATAAAAATCAAATGGAAACCTGAGTTCAGAGAACTAGAAAACCATTTTATGATACCATCATAGTCATTATTGCAACCTTTGACTCATATTTATGTAATTGTTATTAACAATGTAGGCTCTGTATTGTTATAAATTTATTATTGCTTTTTGTATATTTTATTGAAAAATCCAAATTTTTAAAATAATTTTAGAATTTCAAATTTATCTAGTTAAACGGAAGAAATCTGACATTAGTAAAATGGAAAAAAGGAAAGGAGAACATTTCAATCAAAATAATGAAACTGAAAAGAAAAAGAAGTATCTGAAGTAAGTTAAATGACTATCATTTAACCTTTTAATTAAATTCACAAATAAAAACTATATAAACATAGAGCAATAAACTGCATTTGCACTTAACAAAAGTATTGATACGATATTTATCTAGAGAAAGGGATGTACAGCCAGTACAGATATAGCATCTCTTGATTGACGCGCGAAATTAATTGCGGCAATCCCTTTATATATGTGACAAAGTTTTAATTAACGCGGCTTTACCAGCTGTTTTTACTGAACATCAATACCGTATTTGGTTAACGCGGATTTTGATATACGCGGCAGCATCGAAGGCTTAATTAACCCTGTTAACCAAGGGATACCCGTACCCGTAATAAGTTTTTTCTATCTGATCTCGATTTTTATGTACCTAACTCCATTTAGGGAAAAATTTTGAATTGAAATCATATAACTTTTGGTCCAAGCTGGAAATTCATATATAGTTAATTGAAGACTCTGTCCCTTAAGTTTTCCATATCTGAGCTTGAGTATCATCCATCTAACTCAGTTCTCGAGATTAACAAAGGACAGACGGACAGACAAACGACAGCAGCGAGAATGTATAGGCCTGCAATTTGAAAATTTCAGCTCAATTAGTATTGTTAGTTATTCAGTTTTATTTGGCAATCGGTAGTTTTTGCTGAACACATTGAATCTTGTCAGCTCACTTATATTAAGCAACAAGCAGTTCAGACAATATTTGAATTGAAGACATTGTGGAATTGCCAGGTTCTGTCATCTAACACCCACTTTTAAATTTAGTGACTATGGTCATTCCTGTCTAAAAAAAATCAGTTGGCCAAAGATTGCACACTTGTGATTTCGGCAATTGTACTTGATATTTTCAAATTAATTTCACGGCACCATTAGATCGTAAGGCAGAAATTTCAATTTTTGTGTTACATGGTATTTTAGTTTCATGATAATGGGTTCTTTTTCGCAGCTGCCATGTTCTGTTTTATGGCAGTCGGCGCCTAATTCAATTGTGCTTCAAAGAAAACAATTTCTTTCTTACATGTGCTTTACTACGAATTTATACTTCATTCGTATATTGAATTCACCTTCGACACGCACGTAATTATCGTTCTGCTTACTGCAACAGAACACTAATAATTTTGCCAAATTGTGTTTAGAGTATTATATTAATTTTAATTATAGTAAGTAACAGTTAGTTGATTAACTTGGAAGTGTCCAATGCTTGCTGTTTCTGATCTGTAAATTTTTATGCGTGTTTTAAATTAAAATTTTATCTTTTGTGAAATACACATTTTCGTGTATCCATGAAATTAAATCTCTAAAGGAAAAAAATACGCGAAAAAACGAAAACGTCGTTTTCACTCGTTGCTACGGCCAAAGTTTCTATTTTCTAACGAATAATGAAAGTACCAAGGCCTTGGACTAGCATATTGGCGTCGGTTTCATTCTTCTCGATCTTAAGAAAAGAAAAAAAAATCCAGCAACGAGTTGCCTAATTTTTTCAACAACATTTGGTGGCGACTTCTCTTATTTCATTTTAAAATCTTTTAATATTTTTAACTATTATAACATGGCAAAAGCTTAATTTTCAGGGTAAGGATGGGTTTTATAAAAAATTGTAAATGCTAACAACGAGTAAAATCATCATTAAGTCCGATCCTATTCGAGATTTGACACACGACCCCCTTTATCATTCCTCTCCTTGACCTTTAACTGCATCAATCCCCTAATAAACAATCCTCCCTGAGAAATTTCAGAAATTTACGACAGAAAGCATAGGAGTTATTAAACTTCAAACAGGATGAATAAAATCATTTCCCCCACACACATCCATAATTACAGGAAAAAACACCGAAATTTTCTTAATTTCTCCACGTTTCAAGGTATCCTGAGCCAAAAAATGCAAAAATCTTAGGGAGATTTTTTTTGGCCGATCGCCATGCTTTCCCTCTTATATATAACAGCCGGAGAAAGTAATAAGAACCGTCTAGTTTAGAAAACGCTGTATTTTCATTGGTAACAATTGTCTCGATTATAAAAAAAAGGAATAACAGTATCCGTTTACTACTGCGTTTTCGGATTGAAATCCGTGAAACGACGAAGTTAAATGAAAGGAAAAAAAATTAAAACTTTAGCAGAGAATAGTTTCGATCCACTGCGTCACTCTGCTTCCGAAAATCTAAGAGGCTGTCGCGATTTTATAGTTTCTATTTAAAATACAGACGTTAATTCTTTGCTACTAATATAAATAATGATGATGAATATATTCGAAATGTTACACAATGAAATGACTGGAACTAACAGCAGTTCCCAGTAGCATAACTCGATTTTTCTAATTTGAATTTTTAAAACTTAGATGAAAAACACATCGTGTAACTTTATTAATTTGTTCCTCATCATTCTGTCAAACTGAAGCATTTACTTCACTTTCGTCTGCACTATGAATGTTTGCTCTCATTCATCAAAAATTTATGAAAATTTCAAGTACAAATAAGAAAATCATACAAAATGAAATATTGAAACTGTAAAAAAAAATCAAATTATAAAAACTGAGTACTAAAACATTACAGATCTAATCTAATTTAAAGAAAAAGTTATATTAAAAATTCTTTGAGTGTTTAATTTAAAAAAAATTTAAAAATAAACATCTTACGAAAGCTGTAAATGATGCCTCTAGAAAGTTTTGAGAAAAGTGCAATGGTTCAGATGTAGTGGAATGGCAAAGATACAATGGCTACGTTCAGCAGAGTCAACAAACTCAGCGAAGGTGTTTCAATCGATAGCTGTTATATAGTTTTATCTGCTGAAAGATGAGTGCGTTATTAGTTTAAAAAAATAAGTTGAATTTTTAGATAGACACCTTACTTTTAAATTAATAATTTCTCAATAAAAAAAAATACAATAACGTTTAGAATGGAATGCTCTAACTCGTAAGGCCAAATTATGAGTAAAATAAAATAAAAGGCGACTTAAAAGTTGATATTCTGTCACTCTAAAAATGCTTCTGGAAAAATTTTCTGTCTGAAATTCCAAAGTTATGTCAGTTACGAGTATTCCAGTTTGATTTTAACAAACTTTGTGGTGGCTTAGGTGTAACTTTTTAATAAACCATTTATTGAAAAAAAAGCAGAAATGTTCGAAAAATAACTACACGGCAGACAATTCCCTATATCGATTTTTATTAGTCGCTTAGATCATAAATATTATAAATGCAAGAATATCGAAGACATTTCCCACCCCTTGTAATAGTTAGCAAATCGCCTTCTTAACTCGGCATTTAAACCGACCTTCACCTACTCTTCCTTTCATAACAAGTTTCATTTTTCTTTGTCGTTCTTCTGCCCACGTCGTTTTTTTATGAATTAATCAATGTGCGAGTATTTACGTTATATCGTAAGTGTCTTGTTCAATCCGTTTGCTATTTAGAATTCAATTAAAATGAGAATTTTACGCCCGAAAAGATAAATAATATACTATATATTCCCTGTATATTAATTATACAGTATATGCTACGTATAATATCTGATGGATATTAAAAAACTGTTCTTTTTGTGATAGGTAGATAAACACAACTCGCACTTAAATACTTTTATTATTATTTTCTCAACGCTGTTGTCGTCCTTTATGTGCTTGCTTGCCTTAATATGCCTCTTTAAACTATGTCTATGACTATATTTTAAACCATACTCAATACATTCCATTTTATTTAACATATAACGAGTTTCTCGACGTTGACGATATGATAAACCCGCTAGTTTTACTCTTCGGATCGAACTAAAAAGCGGACGTTGGCCCACCAGTTCCGTTCCCTAAACACTGATGGTTCGATCGTGGGTTCGAGCTTCGCCAATAAAGTTTTTCGGGTTTTCGCCATATCTCTAATACCTAAATAGCTAGCGTTACCCTTAAAGAACCTCCCGGCAGGCTTTTCCCCAGCCCTTCGCGATTAATTTTGTATAGTCAAGCAAACAACCTTTGGCCGGCTCTTCCGAAGATTAGCGATTACACAATAATCTTCATATTAATCCCGATACGAGATAGAGATAAAAGCTGACGTTGCGTATGCGCTACAGTGCGAAGAACTTGACATTAACGCTCATTCAGGGGCTAGATGTTTGTCATAATGTTGGGCGGCCATAAGAAAGAAGCCATTTAGAGAGGACTAGTGGGAGAAAACATGGTATCAGAAAACAGGTAGACGCGAGTTACCTAAAAAGACTTGATGTACTTATGATTTTTGAGTAAAACTCCAAATTTTTAATGTATTTTGTATTTTATTAAATTTAATTGAATAAAATCTTTGATTTCTGACAGGCTCCTGCTAACTTTATTATTATTATATAAAACTAATTATAAATAATATTTTCAGGATTACTAAAGATAAAGAAATTTCGTTTGACAGTATTGATAAAGATCATTTCGATTTGTCTCAAGGAAAACCTGGAAATTCTTCAAATGATACACCTGTTAGAGCAGGACAGCAAACAAAGTAAGATGTATATTTAAAAAAATATAAAAATATAGAAATACTTCTTCAGATAGAATTTCGTTTTAAAATAAATTATACAGTCAAACCTCAATATAGTATGTACCATCTCGTAGATCAGTGGTCTCCAAAGTGGAGTAAGCGTATCCCAAGGGGTACACAAAGTGATATTTGGGGGGTACGCCAAGTTTCCCTTCAAAATACTGTACGTGTGTCCTATACAGTCAAAATACTGTAATCCTAATTCAAATTGTAAATTTGTAATTTAATTTAAATATATGTTTATTATCTAAAATTAATAATCTTATTTTTGACTAACATACATACATTCACATAATATATATATATATTATATTATATTCATTATATTATATTATATTATATTATATGGGTACAACTTATAATTATTTTCATCTTAGGGGATAGGGGTACGCGATCAAAAAAGTTTGAAGATCACTGTCGTAGAGCACCAATGAATACTCACGAATAAGGTTAGGGCAGGTAATTGCGCCACACTGCGCCGTACTAATTATGCCACATAAGTATATCACGGTTAGTATATGAAATTGTTAATAGAGTATGCTGTATCTTAAGGCATAACTACTGAATTTCATCCATAGAAACGAACCAACTTGAAGTGTTTTGCTTAGTTTTGTAGCTATCAATATCATTTTGTTCCGTGGAAACTTCTCTGCTATAATTTGCAGGTTTGTTTGACTGTGGGTTGTAAAGAATTCTTTTGAAGGCAAAAACTTTTATGTATAGTCATTTTTAAGTAAATTTAATGTACTTTAAGAATTTATCATCAGTTTTTGTTGATAAATATTCTGAAAGAACAGAAAAATGGATTATTTGTGAAATGACAAACGTTGTTCAAATTACATATTTTTCTGTTCTGAATGTTATCAATAAATTTATTGATGTAAAAATTCTTTTCTTAGATATTTGTTTAATTTCTTAAAATGTAGTGATAAGAAAATTAGATGTTTTTTATGTTCTGTACTATCATAAATTAGGATAAACTCTTTAGCATGCATTATTTAAACATTTTAAACAGTGAACCTTATTTTCACTTCTCAAAATTAATTGAAAATAATTTATTTGGCTGGAGTATTTACCTGCAATGCTTGGTAAGTACGCCATATTGCCGAAATTTAAAAAAATAACCGCTGTAAGGTTGGAAAAAAGAATAAAGTTCCGAAATATTTGTTTCTTATTGATAAAGCATACTTCTTAGTCCTCACAAAACTTTAAAAAAAATTGAGAAATCTTATGATGGCCTAATTATCTTCACTTACCTAATTTAACAGCGAATCATCGGATATCTGTAGATTTCTAATACATATTGCAAACAATATTGATATACCTTAACTCTGTTTTATGTCTTGTACTCACAACCTTAAACTTATGCATAAACCTTGTTACTACATTTAAATCTTATTAAGTTACTTTAGTTTAGTGCCGCTTTTAAACAATCCAAATACAGTCAAACCTCCATTTAACACCATCAAATGGTTTGACTGTATTTGAAAGGATCGCGCAGTATTTTTTACCTTTGGCTTTACAGATTCCAATATTATAGATTTTAAAAACAGAACTAAGTTTATAGATTTCTCTTTGAAGGAACGAAACATTATTTATTTTAATTTCAAATTATCTATTAAATATTAATTAAAATAAAAGATAGTTTTTAATTTTTGAATACAGCGCCCGATTAACCAAGGTTCCACATCATCCAAGACAAATCTATATCTGAATACTCTACTTTTCTGATAGTGTAATTAATAAAAGTTTAAAGCGATAACACGTTTTACAAAATGATTTGTTTCCGTTACGATTTATTATTTAATTTCAATGTGAGACAAACGTACAATAAGAATAAAAATGTATATTGAATGTATTTGCAGTATAATAAATGTAAAAATTGTTTTTTGCATACAGTATGATTAAAGTTACTAAGGGCATAAAAAAGTTGAATCGTTTTTTCTTTTTTATAATTAAATTAGATACTTAATAACAATACTTAGGTGATAACAATAACCTGAATATACTAACACTTTATATATAAAATACAGAAGATACAAAAGCATCTTCACTTTCGCCCTTTGCAACACTAGGAACTAACAGTCTTCCTTTGCAGAGACGACCTTTTTTTTGTAGATTACGACACTGCTACAATATACAAAATAGTTAAAAATGTTTACTGATGATAAGCCATTGTTAGTTCCTGGTGTTGGAAAGGGCGGAAATGAAGACGTTTTTGTATCTGTATTTTTTTTTATTGTAAATATACCGTCTGCCATTTTAAAATTAAGTATATAAATTTTCAATATACTAAATTTGAATGTCAAATGCCATTCCAATTGAGTATATTCAGAGTATATGCCATTGATAAAAGTAAATAATCAAGTATATATTTTTTTCCTTTATGTAAAATTATTGCATATGTTAATAATTTTTTTTTTTAAATATTAAATACTTAATGTTTTACTTTAATATTTTTAGTCAAATAACCAATGTGGTAGCGATGGATTGTGAAATGGTGGGGGTAGACAAAGGTTCAATGCTTGCCAGAGTGTCAATAGTAAATTCTATGGGATGCTGTATATATGACAAATATGTGAAACCAAAGAAAACTATTACTGACTACAGAACTGCCGTCAGCGGAATCAGACCAAAAGATTTAATAAATGGTAAATTTCTTTTTTACATTATCACACATCGCTGAAAGTCCACAGATTAAAATTTATCTAATTGTGTGATCAAAATTTTGTGATTATGCAATTTAATATATTTGATTCCATAGACGCAAATAACCGCATTATTAAAGTCCTCAGAAGACAGCAGTTATTAAAGTTTCATATGTCCAAAATTTGAATATTTGTCCAGAATACATTTTAATTTGTGACTTTTCATTTGGACTATGAATATGTTGCCAGTTAGGATCCATAGTTCTGATGTTACAGTAATTAAATATTATTTTAAAATAGTATTCAGACTCTTAAATTATAAATTATGTACTGTAATTAAATTTTAAATTGTATCTGCAAATCCGGATTGAGTCTAATTAGAACCTTATAATTTACGGTCAGTACTGTTTGAATTGGTGTTTCCAGTAGTGGATCGAGAAGTCTTCAAGAGAAGCTCAAAAATTAAAAACATTTGAATTAGTATCTTTATATCAGTATAAGTATCTTTAATAAGTATCTTTATATCAACATATGCACAACAATTGTATTACAAATGGTCTGAAATACCATTTTTTACGTTAACATTATGGATGTTTTCAAGCAAATAGCTGTACTTGATAGATTTTGTTGGTATATAAAGAGTTTATGTAGAAATTGTAATAGAAACTTGAGATTGCCTGATTATGGCTAAAAACATTTTTTTTTTTTTTTTGGTAAAATAAATGTTTTGGAAGAAATAGTCATTTAAGAATTTAAAAGTTAACAATAATGTCTAGTTTTGTGGAATACGAAAAATGTTTCTATTGTAATTTAAAGTTTGATTTGTAAAAAAATAAAGAAATAAATTAAAATTTTTAAGCCCTCGTAGCACTTCCCTTGGATCTGCCACAGGACGTTTTTTATATCTCTCACAAGTTAACTGGCCATGCTGGTCAACTCTACCCATGAGGAACAAAATTATGAATAGTTATATTGTATATCCTTATACGTTGATGCATTATCTTGACAGTAGACTTTACGAATTTTCGACTTTAAGACAAAATACATATAACAAGTCAAATGTCTGAAAGTATAGAGAAAAACTTTTAGAATAAAATGTATTGAAATAAAAACTTTTTAGTTGTTTACAATGAATGTAATATAATTCATAAAACAACGATTAAAATATTTAAACGTAGAGTAAAATAAAAAGAAACAATAAATATTATTTTCTGTTATTTTGGTTTTGTGTTTTTGCTAATAACAAAATCAAAACTAACTACACATTGCTGTACAATAGTTCAAAATTTTTATTTGTCAACTGAAAAGTTAAGTTTGAATTTGACACATCGCGGCTTTGCTTTGATAGCGACACAACTAAAAATAAATAATTTTGCTTTTTTAACATAAATAAACTCTTTTGGTAAAGTACTTTATCATGTAAAATGGCATATTTCTACCTCATTAGATTCCAGATCAGAGATCAGATGAGTGTTATGTGTATGCAACTGTTAGTCAATTAGAATTTGTTAATTTTACAAAGGAAGCATTTAACTTCGTTTAATTATGTCCCTGTCAAAGCAAAGCAGCGATATGAAATGCAGTTTAGAATTGTCAAAGTGTAATCTGCAAGTTGCTTGAAAGTTGAAGACCACTTTATATATTTATTACATAGCAAACAGTTGCAATCAATTGTATGTTTTGCTATAAAATACATCACCATTACTCATGTATATTTCATTCATTTCTCAAGTTGGGTATTTTAATTATAAGTTAAAACAATATATTTAATTTTTTACAATGTTATTTATGTAAGATAGTTTTATGAACATTTCATAATATATGTATTAGTTTTGTTTCATAATAGCATTTCATAATAATAATTATTTTATAATAATTTATTATTATTAAATTTTAAATATACTAAATGTTTTGCAACAGGTGAAGAATTTGAAGTCGTACAGAAAGAAGTAAGTGATATTTTAAAACAAAGGATTCTTGTTGGACATGCTATACATAATGATTTAAAGGTAATAATGACATAGTTGATATGAAAAAATTTTGTTTTTCTAAAAGATAGCGCAAAAAAATATATATTATACTTAAAACTTTTGTAAAATACAATAAATAAGAAGTTAAGATAAATTGCAAACAACATTAAATTTCTGTATTACTGGAAGTTTGAATTATTTTATTAGTGAAAACATTATCTAAATACAATAGCAACGTCCACTAGTTAGTTGATATTGTATGTAAATATATTTTCTACATTAATGTTATCAGTGGCGTGCCGTGACATTTGATGATAGGGAAGCTGTGTTTCTGTAAGAAGCTGAATTTTAAAAGCAATCAGTTAATTGCGCGTTAGTGATGGTCTAGGGTCTATTCATATTCGTTTGTTCGATAATCCAGTAAAAACCGTAGACTTCTCTAAATGTATTTCTAATATTACAATTAAATTCTGAATCGCTAGCCAGGATATAAGGACTACAATTAAAAATAAAATAATAAAAACTTACTTGGTGAAATAAAATGTGTAGTGGATATACGTACAGTACATACCTGGTACAAAATATTCAATTGTATGATCATACTTTTAAAGAAAATTATAATTAAATATAGCTTTGTAAAGAAACGTACATAAATATAACATAAAATATTCTTTAAAGTACTTATTAAATCTTAAAACAATCCACTTAGTCAAATGGCTACGAGTGGATTAATGGATGGAATCAAAGTAGTTGCAGTGCGTGCATAAACGCGGCCTTGCCAAATCCCGAGGGTGCCGATGCCGGTCTATGTCAAATGCTTCTTTTGTCGCATCACTAGTATACCTCAAAGGACCCGACAGGGTTGTAAATTTTACACGTTTCTCGCCATAGCTGTAAAAATCTAAATATGTTAAACTTAATACTAAGTAGATTGTCCGTCATTTGTTTTCTAACTAATTCGTTTTAGGGCAAACCGTTTTAGGGTGTCCACGAAAATTTCCAAAATTTACTTTTCAGTCATTCTCATTGAACTGGAAAAATTTCTGACTTTGTTACATCTAATATTACGAAGAAATCAGTCCCCACTGTACTCGGCTAGAGATTGGTTCGGTTAAGCTTTTGTTTAAGTAATATTCCGGCTGTTTCAGCAGGGTTTTATTTAGGTCCGTAATTCCCCAATCTCTTAATTATTTAACTACTTCTTAAATAGAAATAAGTCTAAACCGGTTTCTTTGTACTTGAATATTTGTAGTTTTGGGAAAGAAATTTTTATGACAACAGATACATAAATCGTAAATCTATGAATTACTGTATAAATTCTAGAGCATTTTTTGTACCTCGTGCATCTCATTCATTAAATTTTGTTGTAAATGTTGCTACCAAAGTAACAGTTATTTTTTTAACCTTGTACAAGAATTGTGCGCGTTTTTTCTGCATCCCCTTATAGATGGGACATACTAAATCGTAATATCGTTTAACATTGAAATGTGTAAGTAATAGAAAATGGGAGAGCTGGATAAAAGCAGAATAAATATATCAAATATTTTAATGGATTTTTTTAAAACCTTTGTCACAGAACTATCATAACACAGAACTAACACAGAACTATCATAAAAATATACCAGTACAGTACTCCTATCGGTTGGGTTAAGTTAAAATTTACTCGAGATTCACATAATGGGGCGAGGGCGGCCAAATATCTAACATGCAGGCTGCTAATAGCCCGGAACCAGTCCTGGATAGAATCATTGGAAGCGTTATACGATATTTTGGTGTGTAGCGTCCACCAGCTAAACCTCCTGAGGATGGTGCTCTGTAAAGCGCATGCGCGAATGCGTATAATCTAGCTTCTTGGAAGCTGTCCCGTATTCGACAATGCAGCGCTTGCATTTCGCCACTGATATTCGAATATACAATAGCAACCTTATCGTTTTTTTTACATGTAGTATAGAAATTTGTAATAAGATACATAATGCGGTTATAATAAAATATTAATTTTAATTAATTCAAAGTACGTACGTCAAAATATGAAAGTAGTCGCTCAATATGTATTTATATTTTAGAAAATACAAAGGAAGTGGCGCTTCCACCGCTTCCCAGGATGGCATGCCACTGAATGTTATGTAAAGTTAGTTGTAGTTACATAATTGTAAAGAATTTTCGCTACATAAAATTAAGTGTTAGAGGGGTACAATGGATATCCCACTCTTACTTCTTCCACTTTTCCCCGCATTTTCCATTTGTATTCTATCTCTTGTTCTTAGACTATCTCTGGGGAAAAAGCATCAAACATAAATTATATAATACATCATAATTTTAATTGATTAACGTTTTAACTAACTCTTTTAGATAACAATAATTATAGATTGTTAAATTTTTAACAGGCTATGATATACAGTAAAATTATTTTCTTGAATTAATTTTTATGAAAGTTTTGTTTGTATTGTATTTGTAATGTATAATGCAACTAACATTAAGTGAATTACAGTAGAACCCCTCTAGTCCGCCCTCGGCTAGTTCGTCACTCCGGTTAATCTGACCGTGGTCGGAGTCGAGAAACTTGTCCCGACTCGTCAGTGACTCACCGTCCGTAGCGTTCTTCTGTGTTCGTTACAGTATATGTTTTACATTGTGTGTACGTGTAGAGTTTTGTGTGTGTTTTCAATATGTCAGGAGTGAAACGTAAACACGTTACTCTTTCATTAAATGAAAAATTAGCAGTGCTGCAAAGACTGGACAAAGGGGAAGATTGTTTATTTTACTTTTTTCTGATAATCCGACCTTTTTTGCGTTCCGACCATACCCCCAGTCCCAAAGGTGACGGATTAGAGGGGTTCTACTGTATATTATGTAATGTAACTTTCAAAGAATTATATTATCATATTGTAATGCAGGTTCTTCGTTTGAGCCATCCTAAAAACAAAATTCGAGACACAAGTAGATATGAATATTTCTGTTCATTAACAAGAAATAAGACACCATCTTTAAAAACTTTGGCAATGGAAATATTAAAAGTAAAAATTCAAGAAGGGGAACATGATTCTGTAAGTTTGATTTTAGTTTTTTTCTTTCTTTTATATCATTTTTATAAATAAAATATTGTGTACGGTTCTTCTCGCTTTTGCTAAAAATCTTTATAAAACAACACATTCGGCATGAAATTATTTGAAGTGGGTATTTATAACACGTTATACAGGATATGAAATTCATTTATACATATTAATATAAAGTTAGTAAAATAAAAACGCATTCTGTCCCTGAAAAATTATTTCAATTATGTAATTGGGCTGCAATGTACAAATTACTATACAGTGGTACCTCAGGATACGAAATTAATCCGTTCCGAAACTTAGATCGTATCATGAAAATTTCGTAAGGTGGATCATCTTTTCCCATACGATTACATGTAAAACCAAATAATTCGTTCCAACGCGAAAAACATACTCAAATTAAAGCCAAGTAATACATTAAAAAAATAACTGTAGTAAGAAAAACAAATGAAAAATGCGAACTAATGTAACGTCGTATGGTGAGTTTTTGTTCGTATCGTGCAGCAAAAATATGTTCGAATTTCATGTCGTATCCTGAAAATTTCGTATCCTGGGGCGTTCGTAACCTGAAGTACCACTGTACATTTACACTGTCATCTGTCTGTTTGTCTCTTTGTTAATCTCGAGAACGGAGTTAGTAGCTGAAAATCGAGACCAGATGTTGAACGTTTAGGGACTCGAATAACTTGAAGTGGGTATTTATAACACGTTATACGTTATATCTATATACGTGGTTTGGATTATTTGATTATTTGAGGACTTTCTACGGGAAATTGACTCATATTTAGATGTTACTAACGCGAAGAAAACACGGAAAACTCCACGTGGCCAGCCGGTTGATGAAGCGCGAAGTGTTCAATGGTATCATCCACTCGTCACAGGCGAGTCCCGAAAGTCACGTGATATTTTTAATTAAAAGATAATTAAAAATTGCAGCGATGTCAGAATAAATAATTGCTCTTGTGAAATGTATTAATATTGAGCACATGATGACTGTTACTGTATTTTCTCACATAGAGCAACATACCGGTTTAACTTTTTTTTTAACTCTTTCTTCTCTGTGATCACTAAATGGGCCGCTTTTTGCAGGCCCACAATGAGGCGTCCGGGAGCCCGACATATCCGGTCGGATCACCCCGAAAAATTTCTGTGGATTTTTCGACCCGTCTGGATTCGATTCCGGATCCCCCAGAGCGGTAGACTGTCATCCGGTCTAAATACCGGTTTAACTCAGGAGTTAACCGGCATATGGGTTTCCATAATAATTAATGGTGCATTTCATTTGCTCTTGTCGATTTTTATAGGCTGCTCTGCTGATAAATTTCCCGAGAAGTATGGTACACACATATACAAAAAAATGTGACTTTTTCATATTTCTCCAGTATATTTCTATTCCAATTTTGAACATAACATATATTTATCTGAACACATTAAAAATTTAAGCAAATACGGGTGGAATAGATCAATTAAGGCACCTTTATGTGAATACCTTAGGTATGTTTAAAAAACACATTCACATAGGTGAAGAGTTCTTGTTTTATCGAAGATTAATAAGCGACATAAAATGAAGTAAAGTGAGGCTAATATACATCAAACAAAACAGTTCCAGGCCCAAATTCTGTTAGTAATACTGGTAACTAGCCAACAAATGAATTAATCTATATATATAAAAATGAATGTATGTCTGTGTGTCTGTCCTTCATGCATTACCACACTGTTTATCCGATTGCCATGAAACTTTGGGAAGTTGTTTAATATACTCCCGCGAAGGTTTCTGGCATAGTACATTTATCCTACGATAGATGGCACGCGTGTATACGAGCATTTTACTGTGTGTTCGATCGATTTCAAATTGTGAAGACCATTTCCTCCCTCTAAAAAATATCTCTATATATGCATTTGTTATTTACGATATTTGTAATAATTTTTGTTTAATCACTTTATTTCAATTAAAATAAAACAATAAATTACAATAAAACGGTTTATTATCCAACTATCAGAAATTTCACAACATGCCAAGGAAGAGAAGAAGGAGCAATTAAATAATCAAAATTATAAAGGATAAAAATATAGACTATATATATAAATGGGGAATATCGCACTTCTGACAATCTCTGCGAGTATGTGGGCTAAATTTAAAGAATCCGTGCTTCTCACATGTACAACTGTATGTGGCCAGCTCACGCGTCAGAAAACCTGATTTATTCGTGTACGCACCAGACAGAAAAACAAAAAATATCGTAAAAGAAGCACTCCAATAAATAAATAGAATTGAAACGACACTTTGAAATGTTTTCCCGATGAAAATGAATAATAATAATAATAATAATAAGTTTCAATAAAAATGATAAAATGTAAATTGAATTTTATCATAACGAGTGTGCTTGAATTTCCTTTCTTCTGAGATCGCAGCAATGCGCGACGGGTAAGCTAGTTCTATATAAGAAAGGTTACAATATTACAACGCATAATTAATTTCTCGTTATAATTTTACTTAAACCTGCATGCCAACTTCATAGGAATTATATGCCGCACGCTAACTAGGACAACCTTTACCCTCCCATTATCGGAGTTAGTGGGGTCTTACTATATTCTCGTATTGATGGATGGTACAGATAATTTTTTTTTTTTGTTAACTAATCAATATAGGCCTATATGAAAAGTTAGGCTAAAATACATATGATTAAATGAAATTTTTTCATAGTGCAACAGAACTTATCTAAATTTTAAGAATATGTGAAGTGGACAAGATGAAGAAACAATGGTTTAAAGTACTGTATTATATGTTTCTAAGACATTTAAAAAATTTCATTTTTTATTAGGTACAGGACGCTCAGACGGCCATGCGACTCTATATCATGTACCGCGAGGAATGGGAAGACAAACTAATTAAAACAAAAAGAGCTGTCAAGAAAAAGAGTTCGAACAAAGAGGATAAATGAGTTATAAATTAATTTATGGATATGTACTTCTTACAATAAATAATTTCAATATAATTCTTGAGATTTTATTATGAAAAAAATATAAAAAATATTAAAAATATTAACATTTTTGAATTGTCATATATATTTCAGGAAAAAAGAAATAAACACTTTATATTTAATTTTAACTATATAATATTATAAACTTTTAATTCTTGTCAGGATATGTAATAGTTAAGGTTAAAAGTCATTAAATATGTTTCAAAAAAGACAAAAATCTGTTTTTGATACGTGATGTATTGGAAGTTAGTTTATTAGATTAGTAGATTAAATGCTATTAAATATGGTCTGATCCTTAAGTGATGTTAATTCACACCTAATCGGTTTTGCAAATGTTAGAATTTTGTATATTCAGTTCTTTTGAAGAGATAATAAAACTTTCTTTGGTTATTTAGATAAACATGTCAGCATTTTATTACTTTTATTTTACAATTTATTTATTTTCATGATAGAAGAATACATTAAGAAATATGTAAGTAAAGAAGATCAGTGCATGACCTGATGCAACAACTTTATTTAATTTATTAACAACTAAAGAAAGGTGACTAACCGTGTATTTCTTTAAGCTTAAAATGATAGTTATATATTTTACGATTTCAAAAATTTAAAGCAGAATAGAATTATAATAGTATACATTACGAATAAATGTAAATAAGAATTTTGTTAACATTTAGCTATATTTATTATCTTTTGCACATTTTAATTATATTAGCTAAAATATAGACTGATATTTTAAGCTAACTTTTACAATGATTCCAATAGTTTTGAAAGCGATTTGATCTATTTTTAGAATGTGATAGACTTTAGTGAATAAATTCTAGAGCAAATATTACCATCTTTTCATGATAGGCAAAATTAATCTAAGATAAATATAACGAGTTCCATAATATCGTTAACTGTAACTTTTAGGAAAATTACTAGATGATGTAGTAAATTAATTAATTGCTATTTCAATTTTTTAATTTACTATCTATAATCTTACTTTATGATATTTTAGAGAAATAAGTCAACATAATTCCTCATCCCTATATAAAACATACTTCCACTATCCATACCGTTTGAATTTTATTAAGTAATTGAAATGTTCTTAATCTGAATAAAATCCATTCACAATGGTGATGTCCATATCGCAAAACACATTTTTGGCATTTCAATAAAGGATTTCCATTGCGTATTAGGGTCTCATAGCGTTCATATTTATTGTTTAGAGCCGTTTATTAATTACGTGTACAATTTTTCAGCCGCTTCTAACCTTCTTCCTTCCTGTCGTGTACAATGATGTGCTTTTCTCAACTCACTTCCATCCTTAAACTGTACACGTAATTAATAAACAGTTTCTTAGTAAAAGTACGATTTAATAAAAAAACAGGAAGTTTTGTATTTTCGCAACATTTAAGAAATTATATGAGATCAGAACAATACAGCTATTGTTGTACAGTTTATACCGGAGCACGCTACTTACACTTTCGATTTATTTATGCACGCTCTTTAATCACTTTGAAGTGGTTACGGTGTTCAGATTGATTGAAAAACATGCAGAAACGTTAACGAACTTTCGTAATTATTCGAGTTCACGTTATGTTTATTTTCTCTATATGTACGGATACACCTGTATTTTCGCCAAGAATCTTTAGCATACCACGTGTCCGAACAAATTCCTATTCGATAGATAATAGCATGTCGAATTATCGAGCAATTATCGGCGACTTTTCAGAGCGTGCCGGATTAACTAACTTCTAATGTACATCATTTCTCTTTTTAATGATTCCAAATCTTCATGTGGCTTCATATATACAAGGTATTTCGAATATTTATCATTTTGCTATAACGTTTTCATACTTACAAGTTTGATTTTTTATTGTATGTAACATGTTAATTGCGATTTTCATACACTGTTTAACGTATTATTGCTGTCAATTTTTATATTGCATCTTCTTGTTGATGTTGATTGACTTCCTAATTGCAGAAGAGCGGACGAAACCGAATAAAATGCACTTATTACCTGAAAATGTAAGCATTCGAACGAATTAAACGTGAAATTTCAATTAAATTGAAACAGGAGAAAACATATGAACGTACCGACAGAAATGGAAAGATTTTAAAAACCATACAAAATTAATTAATTTATTATGTAGCCTTAAGACATGCAATTTAACGAACTTATATTATTCAAATGAAATTTTGTAACGTATCATTGTTTCCCATTTAACACATTGTCATAAAAATAATATGTTTTGATTACTCTGTCATATAACTTCTACTTTATATATTTATCTCTCAATTTATTAAAAAAATTAATATAATGATAGAACTAATTATGTTTAAAATATATTTTTTTCTTTAAATAAGAAAAAATTTTGAAAATAAAATTACTAACTCTTATTATAAAATGCTTCTTTATATGGAAGAACCCTCCCACGAATATCCCAATCGGACGCTTCCCAAATCTTTTCATGAAGTTTAAGAGCTAAAAATAAAATAATTTAATAAGGATTTAAAAGATCGGAGATATTAATTTAAAAAAAAGTAAATGCAATCACTTATCACCTTTAATTTGTCTTGTAAAGTTCTGATTGAAGAAGAAAATATATTCACTTCGATAAAATTTCCATAAAGCTGTCAATCGAAATACAAGATTAAATTAATTAAAAAACATGATATGTATATATTGGTTACAATTATTATAACTAAATAGTGACGATATTGAAAATAATGATCATAATTAATTAATATCTTCAGAGTTAAATTATATAACAGAACTCCACTACTTTGTTAACTCTCATTTGTAAGCAATTTTTAGCATAAGTTAGACTGAATCTGACGATAGGAATATAATTTTGGAGAAAAGATTGATGTCAAGTATTGCCATATGTTATTACTTTTTCATAAATTGTGCTATGAAATTTTGGAAAGCGTTATGGTTTGATGAAGCTTGCCTTTCGGCGAAACAAAAGAAATTGGCCAGTCTTAGAAAATTTCGACAGTTAAATACTGAATATGAATTAAATAAATATTTAGAAATAAAATGAATATTTAATGCTCTGTGTAAAGCTAAGGATCAAAATTACAAAGTGATTAAAGAGCGTGCATCAGTCGGTCAAAACTAGAGACACTCGATCTTTGGAATCAGTTAAATAGATTTCGTCGACAACAGATCTTTCTGAGGAATGAGATTTCAATATACGAACGATATACTTTTTATTCGAATTTATACACTAGTGGAATGAATCTCTACAACCTTACAACCCACTTTTGCTAGAGCCTCAAAACCTGCATTTGAAATTGTTATTGGACTCTCCAATCTCCGATGAAGAGTTAACAGTAGTAATAAATAAGTTGAAAATAAATTCTGCACCGGGGAGTGATAACTTACCACGTATTATGAAGTTCAAGGATCCAGACACGGACCTTTATACTTTATAATAGGTGGCAACATTTGGTGGCGCCATCTGTTATGATATTGTATTTTAAAAACTTTTTATATTTTTAATTATTATAAGATGGTTAAAAGCTTAATTTTGAGGCTAGGGATGGTTTTCATAAAAAAAATTATAAGTGCTAATAACGAGAATAAACGTCATTAAGTCCGACCCTATTGGAAATACATACAACCTCTTTAATCTTATCATCCCTCGACCAATTACCAAATTTCAGTAGCCTCAGTCTTCTTAGTTCACTTCTCACCTCACTGCAAAATTTAAGAAATTTTCGACAAAAGCACAGGAGTTATTAAGCTTTAAAGAGGGTGAACAAAATCGTACACATACATGTACACGCACACACAAATTAACAACCATACATACAGAAAAACCCCCGAATTTTTTCACATTTCCTGACGTTTTAAGAAATGTAAAAAAAATTCCTGATCCACTGAGTACAAATATATAAACTTTTTAGGGTCATTTTCGACTGATTGCCATACTTTTCCTGTGTTATATATAACAGCAGTGAAAGTAAAAGTGCATAAAAGGTGATGACCAATTTAATAGCTAAATATTTTGCTTAATTTTGTTTGTATTCTATAGAGTATATCCAAGTAATAAAATATTTATGTATTTTAATAGTATTTTCTAAAACTCTAAATTATGACTCATATAATTACATAATAAACTAATCATGAATAATATATAATCAATATCGTGTAAACTTAAAACATAACAAATTATACCCACCTTAGCTATCATCCGAGAGGAGAGAAAGCAAAAAATATTAAAAGTCCAAAAGAACATGAAGCAAACAAGAGCGAAAGGAATCTTCAACTTCATGTTTGTATATATTATGGCATACAAAGAGAAAGATATTATGTAAACATACATTAAATATAAAAATGGCAGAACATGTTCCCAAGTATCGTTCATCCGATCAAAACAATCTAAAATTTCAGTGTGTTTGATTAATACTTCATCTAATAAAAGCTTTTTATTTCTAGACTTTTTAATTACATCTCCAACAATTCCTGTCAAGTAATCCAACCTGTAATAAAGGATTGTACCGATCAAATAAATTTGAACCATTATTAATACAACTATAACCGAACCTTCAATTGTTTCCCATGTTATAAACACCGTACAGAATAAGGCAACAGAGTCCGATCCGTTTATATTATATACAGGAAACAAAAAAATTTCTGCAAGAATAATAATGAGGAAGAAACTACCGAGTATATTAAAAAATGTAATAATTGATATAATATCAAGCTTTTTTGATAAACTAATTTCATTGTTGTAGCTGCTCTTCTTATAACAGAAATCGAGTTTCCTTCTTTTGCAAATGCTAAATTGAATAGCGGAATGCAGAAAGAACAAGAAGAATGTGTATTTCAGTATTATTAAGTTTTCTCCAAATACCAGTAACCAATCGCTGCAAATTACGCCAGTCTCTAAGATATCCAGAGTGAATCTAAAGATAGCTAAACACCAAAATACTTCGAAGAAATTCATGTAGACATTGTAGAAACTGGAAAAAATTTTCCTGTTTTCCACATTATGTA